TATATATATATATATATATATGTGTGTGTGTGTGTGTGTGTGTGTGTGTGTGTGTGTGTGTGTGTGTGTGTGTATGTAGATATAAATAATTATATATATACATATGTATATATATATACTTATATATTTATGTATGTATATACACACACACATACACACACAAACGCACACACAAACGCGCGCGCGCGCACACACACACACACACACACAGAAAGAGAGAGAGAGAGAGAGTAGGAATACTACTGTTATCATCATTATCATAAATTATCATTATCATTATCATAATCATTATCATAATTATCATTATCATAATTAATCATTATCATAATTATCATTATCATAATCAATAATTATCATAATTTTCTTTATCATAATTAATCATTATAATTTTCATTATAATCAATTAACATCATTATTATCATAATCTTCATTATTATCATCATACTTATCATTATCATATTTATCATTATTATAATTATCATTATCATAATTATTATGATCATCATATGTATCATTATCATCTTTATTATCATCATATTAATTATCCTTATCATCATATTTATCATCATTATCCTATTTATCATCATTATCATTATAATTATCCTATTTATCATCAGTATCATCAAATTTATTATTATTATTATCAAATTTATCATCATTATCATCATATTCATCATCATTATCATAATCATCATAATTATTTTTATGATCATTACTATTAAGAGGTGGCATAGCTCGATGGCAGAGTGCTGACCTAGCAATCGCAAGCTCCTGGGTTCGCGCCGCCTGACGCTCACATTGCAGCGTCAAAGTCTTGGTGAAGAGGAACTGCCTCCCCGCCGCATCATCCCGCGGCTTGTCAAGCTTGAGTCTCTTCGAACATGTCTCCTACGTCCACATGGATATGAAACCAACTTTGACTTTTATTAACATTATTATCTTTATAATTTCCGTAGTGCCCAATCAATATTTAAGAGAACGGAACTCTAATCTTGTCAATATCTCGTATATCTTGAAGTTTTGTTTGAAGATTTCATACAGATTCCTTTGTAGTTATTTTATATTTTGCTTAACTTACTTTAGCCTCATCTTTGACTTCACTTACTTTAACCAACCTTTGCTTTGTCTGAAATTAAGTAAGGCATTAATCATTTATCTATTTAGAATATGGAGAAATCTCTGCACAGGGTAACTAAACATTTACACGTACATATAATATTTATTAAATACAATAAATAAACACACAGAAACATCATTGAACACGCCATAAGACGGACATAAGTAACAGTTAGCAGTGAACATTTCACAGTACTTACAAGCACCACAACTATTCTAAAAAAAACATAGAAATAAAATAAAAATAAAGAATAAAGATATGAAATAAAATGACTAACACAGAACTAACAAGGCTGGATGAATCCCTCAGCCACATATACCCGCATTGTTGTCGAGCATAGAGACGGTCATCAAAACAAAAACACAAAGCTTTGTTGCACACGCGCACAGCACTGGTGGGCAAAAGATCAATAATGGCCGCTGAATCAACTGTGAGAACAATGCCAACCTACTACAAATCTCTCGATTTAGTTGCTAAAAAACGTATTCTGAAGGTACAGACAGCTCACCAGATCCTTTTTCTCTCTGACAGCTGGTCTGAAAGCCCCAATGGTTAGCCCGATGTTAATTTCGGTGATATTTATCTTTAATACACAAGCCGGGTAGTTACACTGAAGAGGAGTTGAAAGCTTACAAGTCACTCGAAGTTTTAAAATAAAACAGGATAATGGAATTTGTTATTAAAAAAAAAAAAAAAATACAGCTATCTGTATTTGCTGGACCATACCAATTGTTTAGTCAACTAACCTTATAAAGGTCGGTCAACCAAACTAAAACATTATATAATTATGCGCGAATCAGTTGTGAGAAAAATGTCGGTGTATTATAAATCTCGATTCGGCGGCGTAAAACAGACGTAAAGAAAAGTTGCGTAATTCCAAGGGTACAAAAAGGTTACCAGACCGTATTCTTTATCGGATATCTGGTCAGACAGCCCCACAGGATGGCCTGATGTTTCGGTGACATATATCTGTAATTTATACAAACACCTGATGTTTACCCATAAAGGAATTAAAGGCCTACAAATCTCTGGAAGGGTACAAGTAAGTACACAATACTGTTTATAATAAGAGTGGTTCGTAGTCGTAGGATTAAATTCTCCTGAACTTGTGATATTCTTTCATGCTCGCTCTTTGCCTTTTAGGCCTGTTTTTTTTTTTTTCGAAAAGTTGCTTAAATTTACATTCCCCCGCAATACTTACCATGAAACCTTGAAAAGATTTAAGCAAATTTCCTGAAGTTGTTGAGAGGCCAGTGTAGCAGTCATTAGACTTACTATCTTCATTTTGTTCCCATTTCATGTTTTACGACCTTTGTTCAGGGAAGGTTTTAAAATCAAATTAACTGAAACTTAAAGTTAAAAAAGATACCCACAACATCTACCACAACCTAGGCTTAAGCCTCACAACGGAGAAATACATCCCCTAGAAAGAGTTATGACGATATAACATAACCGTTTAAATTTTAGAAAATCTTCATTGAAAGTCTTTCAGAAACAATTAAAACTCAAAGTTGAACCTTTAAAGCAACTATTTACTATGTCGAAGTTTCTTAGAAAAGAATAAAAAAGGATGTGAATCTTATAAAAATCGATAAAAAAGGGACGATGTTCGCGACAGACCAATACTTAATAACGAAGTTCGTTGTCGTTGTTTTTACCCACCACTGCTTCCGATTGATCCCGTTGCAGCTCTGTTGATGTCACGAACTTCCATACCATGTGTATCTCTCAAAAAAAAAAAAAAAAAAAAAAAAAACACCTGCCGAGAGGAAAGCCTTGCATACTGCTCCAACCACAGGACCAACGGGAGTGATGGCGCTGAACAATAACATTATCCACGAGAAAAGGGAAGAG